TTTTGTTTAGGATTAATGAATACTTAAAAATGATATTTCATCAGAACATCAGTTTACTTAATTAAAAATTACAGCTTTTTTCTTCTTAAAAAAAAAAACACAGAATATGCAATTTGTTTTGCAATACTTAATAATATATTTTTTTTCAATTTTCTATATCCCAAGGGTGACTGGGTAATATAAATATGGTTACTCTTAGTCTTCTTCCAGCCAGGCAGTAAAACTCTTGCCTGTCTGTTTGAATGTGTGGGATATATAAATTTGCAGCCACGTCCAGTCAGAATGGGGACAATAAATCTGATGCCTGTGCAGAGAGAGTGCCAAGCTCTCTGCTTGTTGAAACCTTGTAACAACTCTTTGAGGGGGTCCATAGGTGTCTTGTTGCAGGATCTACTTATTGTATGTATTGTTAATTTGTTGTCGTCCTGAACATATATCAAATAGTTGCCAATGGATGTCAAGCAACCAACAATTAATCAATCAGCTTTCTTTACCTCAAGAAGTAATACTAATTTAAAAAAAAGTATAAATTACTTGAATCTTTGCAAACTCCTTAGTTCTAGATAGATATATTTATTTATAAAACAAACCAAAAATAAAATTAATGACAAAGTGGATATACTACTATTTCCATATTTATACATTGATTTATAAAAGACAGGCACATTAATGTCTAGTTTATCACACCTGTTGCTTAAACTGAGAATAAACTGAAAAACCTGGTGCCAAATCACGTGAGAGAACAGTTTGTCAACAATGATGTGGCATTTAACTCGTGAATATTACTACTAGTAAAAATTATGATTCATACATGTCAGAAAAAAAGTTGTATTTTTAGTTTTAACTATAATATACTAATCTTTATTCTATTTTTTGGCCACAGTTTATTGAACTCTTTCCTTATACAACTAAGATATTGCATGTCAATTTTTTTAAATCTGTAAATTCTTCAATGGAAAAATAGGTCAAGCATGATAAATATTTGTGGACATTCAGCCCAAAAATTATTCCGATAACATTTTATTATGTTTAAATATACCATCAGTTTAGACGTTTTTGCTGTATATTTCATTTTATTATGTTTAAATATACTGTCAGTTTAGACATTCTTGCTGTATATTTCCAAGAATGATAAAGCCACTATGACAACTGACTACTTTTACTTGAATTAATCAAAACAGATCATTTCCTGGTATATTTGACTCTTTTATAAAAGATTTCCTCACTATAACATTGTTTGTTTTTAACCATATCGTATTATATTATTTAGGTCGAAAATAGCACAAGTATAACAAAATAAAGAGAAAAATGTACAGCATAAGTCAATATAATCTTTAAACTATTACTTTTAAACTTGAAAATCTAAACTTAACCACATATCAGATGACCATTTTTCAAACCTTATAAATATTCATATTTTAATGAATTATTCATTTTAATTTAAAAGCTCAGACAAGTTCAGACCTCTGCATGTAGACTTTTGAAGCTACATGTACTTAAGATTTTAATATTTCAAAAGTATCTCTACTAAACCTTACATTTCCTTGATTAATACTTCCTAATCATGCTAATAACTGGATTGTATATACTTAATATTGAAGGCCAGTCAGTGCACGAATGCACATGCAAGTTCATTTTTATATGGTATGTAAATTAGTGAAGTGGAAGTGGTTTCAACCCTCAATAATCAAGTACATTATTTCAATTAAGTACTGCCAAAAATGCCACCTATCCCCTCCTTTAGTGATTAAATTATAAGGGTGACATCATATTGAATGGAACAAACTTACTGACACATGATAGTAAATCCATCATTTTGTATGGTATCACAGAAAACAGTAAACAAGAAAACAAATTTTGCCATCAATTATAAAATGGTAGTCCCTCATGATTTGTTAATAAAGTACAGCTGTATATAATGTACATCTTTTATAAACTCATTTGTTACTATTAAATAAATGTATTTTTGAATCAGAACAAGCATACATTATATATATATATATATAAACCCTAAAGATCTAAGCTGTTACTATTACCATACTGTGGATTCATTTATTTTCGTGAGGATCAAACTTCGGGGATTCAGGCAAAATTGCATTTTTTGTGGTTTTGCTAAAGTTTGCATACAAACCTATAGAAAATTTGTGTTTGTCCTTTGAACCTTTTAATTCCTGGTTCACCTTTACCCCCGAATTCCACGAAAAATTGGTATCCAACGAATAATAATGAATCCACAGTATTTAGAAATATTTGAGCTACCAATGAAATATTGCTTATGCATTAGAAGTGTATCTTCTACTGAGATCCTTCTAATCTAGAGGGCAATTTTTAGACCATTGTTGAGAAATATAAGGACTCTTAGCTCCTTGTTTTAACCATGCTGTTTTAAGATTTGCAGACATGTTAGTTTAAATGGTTCACTTTAAGGTACATTTCCATAAAATTAACTGTTGGTTAGTGTAACTGGGCCAAGTTCTTAAGTATACTGTACAATCATCAAGGTAAAGACAATCTTATCAGTTTTGGAAACTAAAAACACGGAAGGTATTGACTTTTGGAACTGAGAATGGAATGATCCAGGACCAAAAACAGACCAAGGTGACAAATACCAAATGACCCAGTGGAAAATGAAAAGCCTTCATTAGCGTCATTTCAAAATTAATAACATTTAATCAGTATGCCAAATTACGTGAAAAACAAATATACAAATTTGTCCACATGTCAACATATTTGATTAAGGTATCATGGGTAACCTAAAGGCATAGTCCAATAGGATGACGTAATCTTAAGATATCAGGGACAACCTAAGGTCACATTACACAGATCATAGTACTACTATATATACACGTGTAATTTATAAATGTTTATGTATGACACATAACTACAACTATGACATTTCTCTTGTGAAATTCACAAATTACAAAATTTTTAAGCTCAACCCCTTATTTAGAAAAAGTTTATAAACTTTTGGATTTGAATTTCAATGTAAGAGAAAAATAATTAAAAAACAGATCACTTTCTGTACTTGACAATTGACCCAAACATTAACATTCTTCTAGATATAATTTTATACATAACATGCATTAAGGGCAATCATATGCTGCATATATACATTTCAATGTTGAAAATGGCATTTTAATATACTCTGACACAACTGTCAAAGTTGTTGGATTTTTTATGTTCAGTATATTTACAAAGTAGTAAATTCATAAAATTTATACCATTATAAGTTTGGATCTATACTTTAAAAATGTATCATTAAACCATAAAAATTGCATACTTAAAATATTTATACTTTCCATTAATTGTCTTTGTGTACTTTAAAACGTTTCAACTAAAATCTATGAGGTCTCCAATGATCTATCAGAAAATCTTTGTTTCCAAGACAAAGAACATTTTCAAAACAAATGGACTGATGTTTTACAAATTGCTGATTAATTTCAAAGTTTGCACAAAGATGAATCAAACAATGGGTTCCAGATATGTCATGACCAAGTTTAGAGAACAATCAATACAACATACTTCAAATCCATCTAAGTTGAACAATACAAGTAATACCATATACACCTGAACCAAGATCAATGCTTAATTACAATAAAAAGCAAGAGAAAATATTTACTTTCATACCAAGTAGTATTAATTAAAGTATAAATATTTGTTTTACAAACAAATAATGCAATAAGCCTATAATTTATGATATTTGTTCCATTTATATTGGAATCGTAAGTACTCAATTTCTGGTAAAAAGCTGTGAAAGTGTACATAGTGATATTTTCTATCTCATAATAATTTTCAGTCTAATTTTTAGCTATGAACAAGTCAGTCAATAAAAGATCAATGGTAAGAATTTGATAATGGGCATATACTGTTATAGGTTATTTCCTCCTCTCTTAGGAGCACTCCCAATACATGTAAGAATAAATAGACTAAATATTTCAAAATAAATAAGACCTTTGCAAAGCCCTGAACATGTGTACAGCAAGTTCTTTTCAACCCTTATCCTCTGTTTATTATTCCTGTATAATGGAAGAACAATGTCAGATATTAGGATATTTACAGGAACGTTTTCAACCCTTATCCTCTGTTTATTATTCCTGTATAATGGAAGAACAATGTCAGATATTAGGATATTTACAGGAATGTTTTCAACCCTTATCCTCTGTTTATTATTCCTGTATAATGGAAGAACAATGTCAGATATTAGGATATTTACAGGAACGTTTTCAACCCTTATCCTCTGTTTATTATTCCTGTATAATGGAAGAACAATGTCAGATATTAGGATATTTACAGGAATGTTTTCAACCCTTATCCTCTGTTTATTATTCCTGTATAATGGAAGAACAATGTCAGATATTAGGATATTTACAGGAATGTTTTCAACCCTTATCCTCTGTTTATTATTCCTGTATAATGGAAGAACAATGTCAGATATTAGGATATTTACAGGAATGTTTTCAACCCTTATCCTCTGTTTATTATTCCTGTATAATGGAAGAACAATGTCAGATATTAGGATATTTACAGGAACGTTTTCAACCCTTATCCTCTGTTTTCTGTTTATTATTCCTGTATAAAGGAAGAACAATGTCAGATATTAGGATATTTACAGGAACGTTTTCAACCCTTATCCTCTGTTTATTATTCCTGTATAAAGGAAGAATAATGTCAGATATTAGGATATTTACAGGAACGTTTTCAACCATTATCCTCTGTTTATTATTCCTGTATAATGGAAGAATAATCTCAGATATTAGGATATTTACAGGAATGTTTTCAACCCTTATCCTCTGTTTATTATTCCTGTATAAAGGAGGAATAATCTCAGATATTAGGATATTTACAGGAATGTTTTCAACCCTTATCCTCTGTTTATTATTCCTGTATAAAGGAGGAATAATCTCAGATATTAGGATATTTACAGGAATGTTTTCAACCCTTATCCTCTGTTTATTATTCCTGTATAAAGGAAGAACAATGTCAGATATTAGGATACTTACAGGAACGAAGTTCTTCTGGTGGAATCATCAGGGTTTTAGGAATGCAGCTGGTATCAGTAGCCATGTAGAGCGGTGCTGATAGGTTGTACATGGGTGGGTACAAGTATGGCCAGTACCAGTATGGTGACATGGCCATGTAGGACATCGTTGTGCTTGAATACGACATTAATGGATATGTAGATTGAGAATTTGCATAGGAGAAATCGTTGGTTTGGTTACCAAACGGATAGTTATGATTGTAATAGACAGTAAAAGTAACATCAGTGTCTGTGAGATCTATGAAAACACTGTCTGGATAAAGGTAGGTACCAGACTTGTTTTCTTTCTTTGCAATGTCAATATCAAGAAGTTGTTTCTTAGTTTGTGCATTCTTGTCTTTTGATAAAGTGTTATCATTCGGTGGATTTCGCTTGCCAGAAAGGGCACTGTCGGTGGAGTTGACTTGGAATTCTGGAGTACTAGTATTTAAAGAAGTAACTTCAGCACTACATTCAGCCTGTTCCTGTTGTTCTTGTGAAATCTCTGATGTCTTAACTTCATGAACATCCTTGGACTTAGAGTCTTCTTCTAATGTATTACAATAGTACTGTAGCTGGTACAGATCAGATTGACATTGTGGACAGTCTGCAGGGGGACAATCGTAACGTATCAACGGACAACCTGTAGTATATCTAGCCAGCTGTTCGAGCTCTTCTTTTGTAAATTCAGATTCTGTAGTTTCCTGATGAGTACTTGACAAATCAGAATCAGACTGGATTTCAGAACTAGAAACAACAGAGCCATTGTCACTTTCCGATTCTTCAGTAACTGAACTTTTCTCACTTGAATTCAAATCATTGCATATCAAGTCAACATTGTCACATTCCCCAATACTACGAGGCTTATCATTACTGTCAGGCAATAAATAAGAATTATTCAACACATAATTCGCAACAAATTTTGAATAGGATTTTTTGGAATTTTTTACTAAATTTGTAGTAGCACTATAAGTGTCTTTCTGATGAGATTTTTCTAAAACTGAGATCAAGGCACTAAGATTTTTAACATCCTTCTTTGTTTTAATTTCTTTGGGACTAATTATTTCTTCTTGAGCATCACTCTCTGAACTTTTACTGTCAGTATCAGTTGTGTCCTTCTTAGCCCTGAGCAATGTGTCAGCAAGAGATCTTTGTTTTCTGTTCAGAGCAGCTTTCAAAGTGTCTTTCAATGGAATAACAATTGGTGTATTTGATTTGTTAAATTTTTCCCTCTTCTTTGGCTTTTGTCGCCATCTATTGTTCCCTTTAGAACGTTCCTTTAAACATCTCTTACAAGAAGAAACAGTTGCAGTATATGAAGGATAAAAATGTTTTAAATCAAAACTTACAGCGTTAATTATGCTAACTACTTCCCTTTTTGCCCCGACGGCTTGAACGACTACTTCTTCCTCCATTGTTCACTAAATTAAATTATGCGTCTATGATATAAACGAAAAAACAAAATGTGTCACGAGCACACCTGAAACAATAGGAAGTGTGGTTATTACATAAAAACCACCAATGTGTCCTTCTTACGATAAATACGATCCTTCATTAAGAAAACAATCTTATTATTGTAAGTGTATAAACAACTTATCACGTCAATATTAAAATGTCCACACCTAATTCACTACTTTCTCAGAATGCTCCTACATTGGTACATGATCATGAATGAAATGACTTTGATTTTACCTTCATGAATGTTTTGATTCAAGAGGTATTCACACAGTGATATCTGATCTGTTCACCTGGTCTTCCCTGAGCACATGTTGTAAGTGTGCAAGCTAGACTTCCTGTCCATTGTCCTTTGTCCAAACAAAGAGAATGAATGAATCTTAGATGTAGTCCATTGAACTGACCTCACACTCTTATTATCTATTTCACTACCTGCAGGTAAAATAGTTGTTCAATAATAAAATTAACTTCACTCCTTTCCCTCTAGGCAAAAATTAACAAGTGAACCATGCTGTGTCTAATGACAGTCTGTAGGATTGTGTAAAGTAATCTAGTACTTTAAAACATATTGATGACAAAGAATGCTTGGGACTTAACTTTATACATAAAGCTAAACCAAACCTATTCAAAGTTATTCAAGGATAAAAATATAAGGTTCATAGTGTGTATTTAATATTAAGGTTAAATATTAATACAAGAATAGACATGTGATTAAAATCTCCGCTTCTTTAAAAGGATTTAAAAAAAATAATATAAAATAAGGTAAAATGTCTGAGAGCTTACCGGTGCTGTAGTAAAAGAGTTGTAGTAAAATTTATCTTATCTCAATAGGTCAAAATAGTACTGACAAATTTTGTGAATGAACTTTGAAGTGAAATCTCTTTCTTCTGTTTAAACAAGCCCACCTTATTTTCTTATCAAGAAAATATGCTAAGTATTAACACCTCCTCAAAATACTCACTCAGCAATGATCTTTCATCCAAGAATATTATAGTGATTCCTTGGCTTCACTGTTTATTCCTGGTTTGAGGTGTTAACAATAAAATACTCATCAGTAAACAATTACACAGTAATGAAACATGTCTTGACAATAAGTGACAATTTCCTTGACATTTAGGACAGCCTTTATGGACTTGGTCTTTCTTAAAAAATATATATCTTCTCTACGAAACAATCAATAACTGAAGAAATTCACCAAATGTTTACATATTTTCTTTTTGCAGAGCTGAAGTATATTGAAGAAATCTATGATGACATTCCCACCGATTTATTTATGTTGATATACTCATTAAGATATGTTGTTGTATATATATACCTGAGTTATAGATCAATATTCTCTCTCTAACCCTGAGGTATGATTTGAATGCACACTTATATCCTCATGTTTATATAGATGGCACTGGACTCTAATCCTAGAAGCTGTCATACAAAGAATCCACCTGAACTTCTTGACATCATCGATGTTAATAAGGCATCAGTAGTCATGTGACTCTCGGTGAATATTATTGAACTGTAATACTGTTTGATAGACAGGCAGTGAGCCTACTACTACACACACACAGAGGAAAGGATAGATCAAGGCTAATTATCTTATCTATACTGCACAATTTATCAATTATTATGTAACAAAGAAGTTATGGATTCGCAGGTCATAAATGGCCATATCAAACAGAATTCTTTTCCACCACAAATGTTATTCTCATACTCTACCATTTTACACTGTTTATCTCACTATATACAAAATATTATGCAAACCAATGCAATATTGCAAAAATGTAATTAGAAGAATATATAACCTGCAAATGACAATACTCCTGAATATATGATCATAACCCATAAATAATATATACTACTTTGTTTAATTCTTTTTTAAATGCTGTGCATCAGTCAATAGTGATTGTAGTTCTCAGAAAATATTTGGTATCAAACATTATATTTTCTAACAAAAAGGGGGGTAGGGGGAGGGGGAAGGGGGGTATTGGTTATTATATATTGGGTTTTTTTACAAACTTGTTTTTCTGTGTTGACCCATATTATATTAATAGTTTATGCTCATATTTCTGTGTATTGGCTTGAGTGTCCTTTAAGCACCTGCCCTTGGTGACTCCTGCATGTGAACAACAATACTATTTGTTCATATGCATCAGCCACGAGGAAGGACTTGACTTTTTTTATAATGGATGTGATGCTGCTTCTGGTGCATGGTCAATAAACACTAAACATACTGGTTTACGTGACTACATGTATTTTTAACTCAATTTATATTTCATGTTTTTTTCAGTTGTATTTCTTTTTTTTTTATTTTCTTGTGTATTGTCTATTGCAATTGTGTGATATAAAAAATCAATGTACTGACTATGCCTATAATGGGTCCTCTATTGGAAATAAAATTTATCTTATCTTATATTCTATATGCATGAGGATTATTAAGACCCATATATGACATATATTTTGTCACCCTGAATAAAAATTTACATAAAATGGCCAATTAAATCATGAATAATAATGATACATATTCACTATATAATTCTTCAGAATTTACTTGTTATATATTTTATTATCATTAACATTTCTTTTTCCATGTGTTTCAATAAATAACTTGGCTTTCTATACAGGTTCTGTCTGTAGTATATTGTTCACCTGAGTTGACCTCCTAAATGACATGTTTGATAAATATGTACATTTCCAAGATACACATGCTATCTATATTAATACTAGACATTTTATCTTGGCAAGATTTATTTCGATATCAATTAATAATGACCTCTACAAGATTAACAGACTGAGTGTCTTATAGTCAGGAAGTCAAGTTACAATGGCCTCATGAAAAAACTCATGTTTTGATATAAAATTACAAAAATGCTCTTATATACATGTATTGCAATTCCTGAAATATTGATAATAATGTTGAATCAGAATGTTTGACCAATTTGAAATCACATTCACTGATACTTAATGTTCTGGCAGTTTTTCAGACACAACCTTACAAGACAAAGGGGAACAACCCAATTGAACATAAACTAGATATTCTCTATGCCTTATATGACTCTAATGAACTCAAAATTGACAAGATATAGCCATATCATAACTTTAATACTATTACAAAGTTACTATGAATTAACTTGTCATATCACGAACAAATATACATTAATGTATGCATGTTTAACATATATTTAATAACTTTTTTGACAATATAAGTATTAGATTATGGTATATAGCTCATGTAAATTTTTATTTAAAATCAAAATTAAACAGTTTGCACCTCATGATTTTCTTCATCTGATCAAAGTGTTTGTAAAAATAGACAAGTAGGTGTAAGAATAACGTGAGATCATTACATCAACTTAAAAAAGTTACATTATAGCTTTTATGCCTTAAGGAAATGAATAGTTTTAAAATGCAATTTAGATTACCATGTTAATTTTTGATCACTTGTTAGATAGAGTCATATAGAAATTACTGCAGGGATCGAATACTAATCATAAAGAATTTGTGATAAATGTAATTTTAAGATAAGACAAAATCAGCAAGTTGTTACATCACTCTACTACACCCACTCCATTCTTTTATTTAATCAACAACACACCAAAAAATCATCATAAAATATCTTTGATGCATTTTTGCGTCATCAGTTGGCACGTGCCTTTTATCATATGCAACTCCCAATCATGAAAATTCTAAATATACTGCATGAATGAAAAAGTGCACTGAATTTCTCACACGTTTTTTGGGTATTTTAATCTCTTAGAATATATGATTCGTTTGAACACTGATTACGCTGCAAAAATCTTACAAACATTTTCCTCTGGAATGATAGCATGATTGTTTGCCATTCCTTTAAAGTGTGTGCTTTTTATCAAGGTCCTGCTTGGCAAACAGACAAATATACAAATGTAGTAAATGTTCAACATTCTTTATAAACCACAAATATGTGTTAATTACTATTGTTTACACATTTTTACCAAAAAGATATTTTCATCAACAAACCACAAGTGTATCAGTTTAATTTAACACAAGTATTCTCATTAGTTGTTTTTAGTTGTAAAACCACAGGACAATTGATGCACTGTGATCAATTCAATAATGTACACAAACTTTTGGGCTATCCCCCTTTTTCCATTCTAGAGACAATTGAAATCCAATAGTCAGACTTAGCAAGAAGTTGCTCCTGTTTTGCTTTAGCATACAACTAATAGTAATTCAAAGTATCAGAAAACAAGAAGTCCAACAGATCTCAAAAGCACTCAAAAGTTACAACTTATCACTGTCTACTTGCTGACCAATCAGAGGCCTTTCTGTTTTGGAGAGTGGTTATTGTATTATTATGGTGTCTATCTGCTGACCAATCATGAGGCCTTTCTGTTCTATAGAGTGGTTATTGTATTATTATGGTGTCGATCTACTGACCAATCGTGAGGCCTTTCTGTTCTGGAGAGTGGTTATTGTATTATTATGGTGTCTATCTGCTGACCAATCGGAGGCCTTTCTGTTCTGGAGAGTGGTTATTGTATTATTATGGTGTCTATCTACTGACCAATCATGAGGCCTTTCTGTTCTGGAGAGTGGTTATTGTATTATTATGGTGTCTATCTGCTGACCAATCGGAGGCCTTTCTGTTCTGGAGAGTGGTTATTGTATTATTATGGTGTCTATCTGCTGACCAATCAGAGGCCTTTCTGTTCTGGAGAGTGGTTATTGTATTATTATGGTGTCTATCTGCTAACCAATCGGAGGCCTTTATGTTCTGGAGAGTGGTTATTGTATTATTATGGTGTCTATCTGCTGACCAATCGGAGGCCTTTCTGTTCTGGAGAGTGGTTATTGTATTATTATGAGCCTTGCAGTTTCCTGGAAAACTGATACATAATGATGAGAGAAAGCATGTTCTCATTTGAGGAGTACTCATGCTTTACTTTTCACAAACAAACTTACAAGGTAACGTTTTAGTTGATAAAAAGGGAAATATTACCAAATCTTTTAAAAAAAATTTTTTTTAAATATTGAAACTGAACTATATAAATGAATTAGAAGTAGTGTGAGAAACAATCATACAATTATCTCCCTTTTTTTGTATTTATCCTAAGATACAAATTATTTTAGAAATATACTGTTGTGTTTGAGCTTGCAGACAGGCAATTCAATATGCCCTCTGGTGGGTGCTTATAATAATATGTATCATCATTACCCATTAATTCTGTCGAAAGTCTTGAACAAAGAATATTTTGCAGAGACAGATGGACACAAAATGATTCCTATATACACCTTATAACATAATGGTTTACAGTTCATGAAATAAAGTAAATTTGAGACTAACAGAAGTTCTAATATCATTAGTATTAGGGCTTTAGTGACTAACTGATAAACTACAGTAATTCTTTGTGCATATTTTCATTTTTATTCATGCTCAGGACCACAAATAATACCATAGAAATTATGACCAATACTAAGTTACACGTTTTTATCAATGATAATACTCCAATTGTTACATTTCTACTCAACTTTACAATGAATAACTTGTTTCATAGCTGGTGTTTCACCACAATATTATTGATAATCAGCAAAATTTCTCAATTAAAATTTACTGAAGAGTGAAAGTCATCAAGTATGAAGATTATAATTGATTAAAATATTAGTACTAATAAAATATGTCATTGTGAGGTATCAGAGTACATTTATATTGGCCCAGATCTCTTTGGAACAAAGAAATGACAGTTTTATATTGGCCCAGATCCCTTTGGAACAAAGAAACGACAGTTTGTCACTCTCATCAATTTTTTAAACAATTTATGTTTTAATGTTTTTTTTAAATATATTAATAATTTTATATATATTGCATTTCTAATTTTTTTCTAAAGGCAATGTGCAGAACTTTATATATTGATTTACTTTAAACCTTTAAACAGAAGACAAGCTGACTGTTTCACATCAAAGTTCATTCCTTGGCACACATTTAACTCATTTCCATATTATTCTACTTTCAAATTTCAAACATTTTAAATCTGTAATATTTTTGGATTTACAAATCCTAAATTGGAAAACAAAGACCATAAATAAACCTTGGACAATTCAAATCTGTAATGCTAACAGCAGTCCTTGACCTGACAAATCTTTGAAAATCAAACTCAATTTTTCTTGGAAGCTTCTTTAGTATAAATGTATGGTATGCTACAACCACACAGATTTTTAACAAAGTGACAGGCACAGTTCTCGACATTACTAAGGATTCATTTATTTTTGTGGGAACAATTTTTGTGGATAACCGGAAAGTTGTACTTTCATCGATATTTGAT